ACTATGTTTTTCCTGTTTGCCAACTTGCTGGGAACATGTTCGGCCAGTGCGTGGGCACTGGCCGAACATGCTCCCAGCATGTTGGCAAACAGGAAAAACATAGTTTTTCATGTTTCAGCTACGTTCAGCGGTTGTCTGGCGTGCGTTGGCTGGTTCGCGGCTGGCGTTGGCGCGCGTTGGCTTGGTGTTGGCACGACGTGGCTTAGTCCTGGGCGGGCGCGCCTGGGGCCCTTCGGCGCCCTTCGCCCCTCCTCCCTCGCCCTCGCTCCTACTCCTCTACTCCTCGCAGCCCCCCCCGCCTTCCGCCTTCTCGCCCTTCCCCCAATCCAACCCGAACTTCCTCCACCCCGGGGCAGGCCAGGCAGGCTGCCCCCCCCCCCCCTCGCTCTCCCCCTTCCCTCCCTCGTCTGCCCCCTAAGCCCTTCTCATCCTGCATCATCCCCCCCCCCTCCCCTCCTTTCCCGCTCTCCTGCAAAGGTTTATCTCTCCGCTCCCCCCTCTCCCTGGCCCCCTCCCCCTGGGATCGTTTCTCGTTCCTTTCCGCCTGGCTCATCCTGATTCCCCCGCGTTCTGCCTTCTCCCCCGTCGTTTTCGCCGCCGTTAGCGCTGCTCCGCTGGCCCTAAATCGAGGCGGAATGCAGCGGAATTCAGGTTATTTCTTAATGAAAATCAAAGTAAAAATGTTGAAAATCTATCATTTTTCAGTAAAAGTTTAATAGCAAGTTAATGAAATCAATGAAACTTAGTGTTGTGGACGCATCAATGAATCATTGAGTGCATTGAGGGGCGCGTAGTGGATCATGTGCATGCAGCATAGTGCCCAATGTGTATGCATGTAGTAAAGGTAGGGCAATGACGTCGCATGCCACGAAGCATATACTGATACCATTAGAGAGCTTGTAGGCTTGTAGTATAACATATTATGATGGGCGCAGACTTAGGTGTTCGTAGCAGCAGTACAGGGATCACGTTCCCCAGCATAATGCCTGCTCGCATATATCATATCCCCATGGCAGCAGAAGCCAGATAGTAAGCCAGAGGCGATTCAGGCCCAAGAATTTTTAGGTTGGTTGTGCTGATTGGCGTTGAAAGCTCCAGAGTTGCACGATGTCTTTTGCGTGCAATGACGAGATCGCGTGGTCTGATAACCTCGCAGACAGTCAAGATGACATTGTCTTCTCATCACCACCTGCTTCTCCTGCCTACGACGACGACATCATTGTTGACGAGTTGGACGCGGGCCTGACCGCCACCGGCTCGCCCGGCTCGTACGACGACGACGGCTTCCCCAGGGCGATGGGCGGATCCATCGACCGCCGCCTGGCGGGGCGGGGTGGGGCGAGGAGCGTCGTCTCTCTCCCTTCCCTTTCTCTCTCCTCTCTCTCCCTCTCTCTCTCTCTCTCTCTCTCTCTCTCTCTCTCTCTCTCTCTCTCTCTCTCTCTCTCTCTCTCTCTCTCTCTCTCTCTCTCTCTCTCTCTCTCTCTCTCTCTCTCTCTCTCTCTCTCTCTCTCTCTCTCTCTCTCTCTCTCTCTCTCTCTCTCTTTCGCTCTGCGTTGCCACCCATTGCCCATTACCCATCCCCCCAGCGGCTGGAGGGGGGGGAGGGCCAGGGGCCCAAGACGGCCCCAATATTGCCCCAAAGCCCCACGCGCTGGCATCTTCAAGGGCCCTCAAAATGCTGGGTCGGCGGGCCTGGTGCCCTACCCTACCCTAGGGGGGCGGGGAGGGGGGGCCCTTCCCCCCCATTCCCCCCGGGCATCGAGGCATCGAGGCAAGGGAGGCGAGAGTGGGGCAGTGAGGGGAGGCTGACCAGATGGACGTGGGCAAGATGGCGTCAGCGGCGCGCAACTTCGTGGACGAGCAGATCTACCGAGGCACCAACGTCCCAGATTTCGCTTTCACGATTGTGCCTGCTCTCATGGTCCATCACTACATTGAGAACGATGAGGTGATTTGTTTGCATGATCGCATTGATAGTGATGTACCGGTGATCTTTCAGACCCAGGCTCTCTTGTGCTACAGTCTGCCTTCCCAGACCTGAAGCAAGAGATGTTCTTGCACTGCGCGTTGATTCGGCTCGTGGCCACAGGCCGCAAGATCAGAAAGTTGCCTGACACGTGTGATCGTTTGCTAGATTTCGTCGAATTCTATTGCGGGGCTGCGGTGGTCACAAAGTACGTGCGCAATATGGGGCTCCAAGTCGCGTCCTTCGACATTCTGACCGATCTCCGCCATGACATCCTCAGTTCTGGTGGCTTTGCGTGGCACGTCTTGTCGGTCGCACGGGCAAGAGAGGGGGGCCGGGGTGTAACGCTGGTGTCGGTCCAGGCATGAGATCCACATTGCCCCAAACGCTCTTCCCTCTTCAGGATCCCCAATCAGGATCTAAGAAAGCTCCGAGAAGGCCCCGAGAAGGGCCCGAGAGGGCTCCAAGAGGGGCCCAAGAGGGCCCACCCACTGGCCCACTCATGAGCATCGGATATTGTTTCGGCGGCTTTACCCTTCAGTGGCGGGCGCTCACTGGGGCCACGCCTTGGGGCCCCAGAAGGCCCCAAGAGGGCCAGGAGCCCAGGAGGGCCCCAGAAGGACCCAAGAGGGCCCAAAGCGCCCTCTGCCCTGGCATCCCTCCTAGCAAAAGCCTCTCGCCTGCGAGGGCAGGCGGGCGGCCGGCGGGCGGGCGCGGCCTTGGCGGCGGCGGGCCCAGTGGGCCCAGTGGACCAGACGCCGCCCATGGTGGTGGACCTGAGGGGGAGGGCGGCCAATGCGGAGAGGGAAAGGGCCCGGGGACGCATGGGGAGTCGTCTGGGCAAAGGGCAGGGGGTGAGGAAGGACGAGAAGGAGTGGATGTGGATGAGGAGGGGCAGGCCAGGCAGGCTAGGATGCAATGGCAGATGGCAGGAGGTAGGGGAGGGCAGGAGGAGGCCTAGCATTTAACAACTAATTTGTGAAGCGTGAAGCGCATACTTATACTATATACCCTACCCTACAGTGGGCCCATTGTAACGGCCGCATTAACCGAGGGTTAGCACGCGCGCACTCTTGCATCCTTGCATATTCTGATTTTCCTTGGCTGTAGGCCGCGGGCTGTAGGTCAGCTGCATGCGGGCGCCCAATGGCATTGCAGCTTTGCTTCCTTCCTGCGCATCCTTACTACGGTTTGTCACTGTATACCCTCAGGTGCTCTTCACGAAGCCAGGTGGCACTACCTGGCACGCCATTGTGTGTTCAAGTTTTGTGTGGGTGTCCCGCGCAGTGACTGGCCGGCACCGGGGCAACAGGTTGGGGAACCAAGAGTGCAAGAGCACAGTCGAGGGTAACAGAATGGCCTTGCGGTCGCTGCTCCTAAGTCTTCTTGCTGATATGCTGGGCGTGATTGTCACCTACGAGCAGCCTACCTCATCTGTACTTCATGAACTTCCTTACAATGCCAGATTCTTTGGTGAGATGAACAAAATAACCACATACATGGGTGCTTTCGGTGGAGATACTGTTAAGCCAACGAAGTTGTTTTCAACGTCTCGCAAAGTCAACGCCCTCATCCGCAAGAGGCCAGCGCCTCGCCGTTTCCAGAAGCTGTACAGATCTGTCACGAGTAATGGCGTGCGCAAGGTTCATGGGAAGAAGCTGGCCATGAAGGGGAGCAGCGCATACACTGAGCGTTTCGGGGCAGCTGTCGCACAGGCGTTCTGCTGAGTGAAGGCAGGACCAGGGCCGCCAGGGCCCGGGGCCCCAAGGCCCAAGGGTGGAGGAGAGGAGAAAGAGGAGGTGAGGTGATGGAGTGAAGTGGGCCGGCAGGCGAAGCGGGGCAGGGTGAGGTGCAGGAGTGCAGGACAGGGGGGTGGGCGGGGGAGGAGGGGGCTGGGAGGGACGTGGGCGTAGGCGGCAGCACCCCCTCTTCTTTTAAAGACCAGGCACCAGGTCACCAGGCCAGGGCCCAGGCAAAGGATGACAACTCCTGGCTTGCTTGGCCCTTTGGCGGCGCCGCCTGAGTGAATTCAAGATCCCAGAGGTTAGCTGGGGCTTAGATAGCGTGGCAAGTTCTAGGAGGAGAGGGGGCAGGCTGCGGCAGGCGGCCAGGCGGCAGGCCTCGCAGTGCAGTCAGCATCGCGAGCGCCTCCCTCTTCTTGTGCACCAACAGCACCTGCGCTGCGCCCCCGGGCGGCGGCGGCGAGAGTCACTGGTCAGTGACGTGGTCATTCACGGGTTGATCAAAGAAACATGTTCTTGAATGCGCCCCCCAGGGGAGGGAGGGGGGGCCCCTCCCTCGGGGGGGCCAGGGGCCCTCCTTCGCCAGCCCTTGCTGCTGCTGCCCAGCTGCTCCCCGGGGGGGGAGGGAGGAGGGCTCGGAGGGAGGTGGTTTCCCCTCGCTCCTCGGTCGACGGCGAGGGAGGGGGGGGGGGGCGATGGGGGGAGGGGCGGCGGGCGGCGGCGGAGGAGGAGGGGGAGTGAGAGGGGAGGGGGAGGGGGGGGAGAAAGAGGAGGAGGGGGGAGGAGGGAGAAGGAGAGAAGGAGGAGGGAGGAGGATGAGGATTTCGCGCCTGGGGTCGGCTCGAGTCGGATCTGCCATTGGCCCCTCTCAAAGGTCGCTTCGCCTTGTTTCGCCCTTGGATCGTCGCCCTTCTTCCTCCTCGCCCCTTGTTGACGGTGTGTCTCTGGCCCATCGCTTCGAAAAGTCGGGGGAGCCTGCCTGCCCCATGTGCTGAGTAAGTCAGGGGTCCAAGATTCAGGGGGCCAGGCCTTCAGGTAGACTAGGTCACCCAGGGCGTGAAGGTAATCGCGCCTCGCGCGTCGCAGCCTGTCCTGGGGTCTGGGGATCTGCCCTTCTCCGAGGTGGCCGCCTCGCGAGGGCGCGAAGGTAACTGCGCGTCGCGCATCGCTGTTCAGCAGTGCGTCGGTAGAAAGCTCGATCGACTAAGTCCGCTATCCGCTAGCATCTTTGGCCCGCTGGCCTTCCAGGCCCCAGGGCCCCGCCAGCCTACCCGCTCGGCCCGGCCGCAACGATGGACGTCGATGACGAGGTGATTGGCTCACCTCAGAAGAAGTTGCCCCCGCCAATGAAACGGCCCATGAAGGCCGCCGGTAAATCCAGGGCCAATAAGCTCGCGAAGTTGGAGTCGACCGCTGCTGCTGCTGATGATGGTGAAGACCTTGGAATCGACGACCCTAAAGTCGATGCCGCTGATGGCGCCGTCGCCGACGACGACGCAGCCAACAAGGTGCACCTCTGCCCTCCGTGCCAACTCCCGGAGGGGCCGGGAGGGGCGGGCCCCGCAGCGCCTGTGCGCCCCCCCCAGGTGGCGGTCAGTTTGGACTGGGAAGTTGCGCATTCCCCCCCCCCAGGGCTGTCTCGCGAGGTCGCGAAGATAATCGAGCGATGCGCGAGATGCGCGCATCGCGGGTCGCGAAGATAATCGCGGGACTCACCCCGCGTGCGAAAAGTAAGTGCGCCCCCCTCCATCGCCCCTCGAGGTGGACAAGGCCGCCCCCGGGGTCGCGAAGATAAGCGAGCATCGCGCGGGCCAGAGTCAGAGAGTTGCCCTGCCTGTGGCCTGGCCTCGCGAGGGCGCGAAGATAACTACGCTTCGCGTCGTCGCGCTGGGGGCGATGCGCGAAGTTAGGTGACCCAGTTGATGCCTTCAAACCATTGCTCCGCTGCCGCGCGTTTCCCTGATTGAAGAACTCCCCTCCATAGCCCTTGCAATGTCGAGTTGCCCCGGCCCCTACTCCTGGACTCCCCTCTCCCCTCCCTCCGTTGTAATTCCGCCCAGCTCAGCAACTCAGCAACGTTGTTGCGTTGTTGCGTTTTGTTGCTCTGTGCCCGGTGCTGCGTTGTGGCCGCTGCGTATGGCGGGGCAGGGGAGGTGGACCCGCTGGCGGAGGACGTCAAGACGACAGGCTCCGCTGATAACCCCATCTACTGGCATGGCCTATGCCGGGGGGCCGCGCGCTACTTGGAAGTTACAGCGCAGGGCAAGGACGCCCAGGAGACGGTCCCCTCGAATAAGGTGCACCTGGCCAACTATCGCAAGTTCGAGATCGAGCAGCCCCAGAAATGGGGGAAAACTGTCATGGCGTTGGTGCTGGCTCCTGGGCAACATCGCGGGGCAAAGCACCGCCAGATCGCGAAGGAACATTTCGACGAGGTCGCGACGTGGAGCAACATGGAGACCATCAGGGACATCGTCATGTTAGACGAGGACGAGTTCTGCAGCCACATGGAGACCACGAAGGGGTGGCGCAGGGATCGGTCGGCGAAGGTATTCCAGGATATGGTTGACGACCCGAACGTCGCCACAGAGAAGGACTCGGACGACGATGCGGATCTGGTGCCTGTGAAGTTGCCGAAAAAGTACCGCGGTACGATCGGCCGCGGCCAGAAGAGGGCGCAGAGGACTACTTCGGATATTGCCACGAAGGCCGACGCCGCGCGCTCCGCCAGCCGAATCCAGGGCAGGCCCTGCAGCCTTGCTTCCCTGGGGCCCATTGGAGATCGTTTCTTCAGGCCTGGGGTTGTCCCATCGGCCCGCGGCGAGAGGGCATCTGCTGCGTCGGCGTCCAAGGCAGGTGCACCAGATGATGAGCACAACCTCTTCGGGTCGAGTCTGGGGCACCTGTCCCAAGATGATGGCGATGCATGGGCTGCGTTTGAGGCTCGTGGAATGCCCGCCGCCGCAGGGGGTGCCATGAGGTCGCCAGTGGCGCCGGGCACGCCGGGCCAGCCGCGCCAGCCAGGGCTGTTCGCCAGCGCGTACGACAACGCCGCGGCACCACCAGCAGGGGTCATTCCAGCTACTCCGCTGCCGATGCCGCAGGTGGCGGCGCCGCCGGCGACGGCGGAGCCGCAGGCCGCGGCCGCGGCCGCCGCAGTGCCCGCCGCCGCCGCAGCCCCAGCGGCCCCGGCGGCCCCAGAGGAGGTGCAGTGGACAGGGCCAGAGTTGGCAAACGCGAAGAAGAAGCTGATCGCAGAAGGGTCAGCCATCCTGAAAGACTTAGGCCTCCCTGGGAAGAAGGGCTTCATCTCCACTCTGGCCGCCTTCGTGGATGCCCCTCGCAAGGACGATAAGATGAAGACCGCGCTGGAGCTGCACGGCCTGACTGGCGATAAAGTCAAGGAGCTGAAGGACAAGAGGGACCAGCTCATGGACAGACATGCGAATATCGCCAGCTGCAGGGCCTCCAGCTTCACGCAGCTGCATAAGGAGGTGGGGCGGGATGTTGATCCGTTTCGTTGCCTTGGGCGCCGTTAGCACTAGAAGGAGGAGGAGGAGGCGGAGGAGGAGGAGGAGGAGGAGGGGGAGGAGGAGGGAGGAGGAGGAGGAGGAGGAGGAGGAGGAAGAGGAAGAGGAGGAGCGGAGGAGGAGGAGGAGAAGGAGGATGAGGAGGAGGAGGAGGAGGAGGGGGGGGCCCGGGGGGGCTCGGCGGAGGGCGGAGGGTCTTGGAATGGAGCTCTGAGGAGGAGGAGGCCACCCCCATCTCCCTCGCGACCCCGCTCTATGGCCTTCCTCCTTCTAAGGTCCTTGGGCCCCAAGGAAATCACACCGACCTCCAGTGTCTCCACTGGGGAAGCTTGATACCGACTTCTTCAGATCGGGGCGAATCGCGGACCCCATCCTACTGCCCTCGTCGTCATCCCTGGACCCTGCCCCTGCCCGGTACCCCGCCATCGCCCCCCCCCCCCCATCCTCCTCAGGATCCCCTCGTAGCCAGCAGCGCCCCGCCAAGAGCAAGTCAGAGCAGCGGGGCCAGCGTGGAGCAGGAGCCGAAGGCGGAGCTCTCAGCCCCATGGAGCCGCGATTCCCCAGCCCGCCAGGCCCTGCAGGCCCGCATGAAATCGGCTGGGATCGAAGCGGCAGCGATACGCGCTAAGGTCACACCTCTGCTGAGCTGCTGCTGCTGCTGCTGCTGCTGCTGCTGCGGTCCCTCCCCCCCCTCCTTCTCCTCCCATCCTCCCATATCCTAGTCCCTGGGACCCGGGGTCATCGTTCCTTTCCTGATCTAGAGGTCGAGTACGAATACCTGCCGAAGTATTCAGAGTTCCACTTCCACCTAACGCCGATAGCGCTGCTGAGGCCACCAACCGTGGTTAAATATCTTAAGACAGACCCGCCGACGCCAATCGAAAATATCCCATGCAGACGCGTTCAGGCACTGATGCGAGATGGTGGTCTGGACCAGCCTGCGCCTATAACTTTCACGGACAGTTGCACTTTTCATCAGCGCCCGACGCGCGAGATGAAGATGCGCATCCGAGAAGCTAAAGCTGAGTTCGTCGTTGCGTGGCAGCAGTACAAATCAAACCAACGCAAGGTGGCCCGGTGGCCCCCTCCCAGAATGATACGTCCCTCCTCCTCGCGTGTTTCCCATGCCCCCCCCCCGCTGGGCAGGGGGAAGGGGGGGGGCCCGGGGCCCAGGGGAGCCGTGGGGCCCTGGGCCCCCCAGGGCCCCCCCTCATCCCTGCCCCTAATTGACTCATTCCGAATTCCCCCCCCCTCCCTGGCCCAACCGTTGCCCAACCCTTGGCCTTGGCCTTCTCGGGCCGCGGGCCGCTGGGCCGCCGGGCCGCCGCCCCCGCGAGTGGAGGTGGATGGCCTCATTGGCGAGTTGCGCTGCGCTACCACCAAGCACAACCGCGGCATGACCGAGGTGAAGATGTACGAGGCTGAGCAGAAGAAGGTGGCCAAGAGCTTGGCGGCAAAACAGAGGCGCCCTCCGCTGCTGCTGCTGCTGCTGCTGCTGCTGCTGCCTGCTGCTGCTGCTGCTGCTGCTGCTGCTGCTGCTGCTGCTGCTGCGAGAGAGAGAGAGAGAGGGAGGCTCCTCAGCCAAGGCTCAGCCTTCTTCTTGTAGTCTTGTAGCTACTGCCTACTGACTGCCCCTCCTCCTCCTCCTCCTCCTCCTCCTCCTCCTCCTCCTCTGCGAGGGAGCAAGACTCCATTCATCGGTTCCTCTTTTCCTCCTCCTCCTCCTCCTCCTCCTCCTCCGACTCCTCACTCAGCACTCACCCCTGCCTCCCCCTCCGCCTCCCTCCGCCCCCTCTCTCTCTCTCTCCTGCGCCTCCCCCCCCCCTCCCTCACTTGCACCCAGGCCCCTCCAGGGCCTGGGCCATCCGCCGCCCAGGTGCGAGGCGAAGAAGAAAATCGGTCGTTTCATTGAGAAGGGCTGCGGGCAGAAGCTGGCCAAACACCTCGATGACATTGCTTCCAAGGTCGAGGCGGGCTGCGAGAGCAACGGCTGCCTCTCCGACGCCAAGCAGCAGGAGCGGGGCCGCGGGGCCCAGGGGCTGAGTCGGAGGGAATAGGGAGGAGGAGGAGGAGGAGGAGGGAGGACGGGGAAGAGGAGGGGGACTAGGACGAGGAGGAGGAGGAGGAGGAGAAGGAAGGAAGGAGGAGGACGAGGAGGAGGAGGGGGAGAAGGAGGAGGAGGAGGAGGAGGAGGAGGAGGAGGAGGAGGAGGAGGAGGAGGAGGGAGGAGGAGGAGGAGGGATTTTGATTTGCTCGCGGGTGATCGTCTGCCGAACACTCCTGCCCGTGGCGCCGAAACGACGAGCGAGGGGCCCGAAGGAGGGGCCGAAAGTTAGCGAGGGACGGGAACTGGGGAGGAGGGGATGAGGAGGAGGAGGAGGAGGACGAAGAGGGCCCCCGGGCCCCCCCCCCCAGGGGAAGGCTCGTCGGCCCAGCCCCTGAGAAGGAGGGAGGACAAAAAGGAGGGAGGAGGGGTGGATTTGCCTGAGAGGACCTTACCGACAACAACCCATGCCTGCTGACCATGGAGGCAACGATGTCCACGCACCTGCTCAATTTGGCCGACGCTGCGAACGACAAGTGGAAGGTCCAGGAGAGGCTCAACAGGGTGTGCAGTGCTCTTTCCGCCAAGAAGGCGAACGGTAACATGATGATGATGAGCATGCCTGACGAGTACTTCGAGTGGCACGCCGCGGCGACAAGCGGGAAGTGTAACGCCAGCGCCGACGTCAAGTGCATCAAGTTGCCGTGGATGCTGGCTTTCCAGAAGTGCGCTCCACGTTGCGGGTTTGACCAGGTGGGGATGATGGGAGCCCCCATGGCGGTCGTGAGCTTGCGCGGGCCCATCGTCGTCATCGTCGTCTCCCTTGAGAACCTGAAGCTTGCGCCAGACGTGACGTTCCAGGATGCAATTGAAAATGTCAAGGATGAGGACTTCATGGAGTTGATTCATCGTTGGGCGCATGTACCCGCGAAGCAGGTCGTGTGGATCCCCGGCGGGTTCGCGCCGATCTACGTCGGCATCAGCGGCGAGGACCTGAACTCCGTCATTGAGATTCCTGTGTTGATGGGCTCCGCTGAGAGCGCGCCGGCGATCTATTGCAACGCGGTGAAGGACGTCTGCGAGCACTCCAAGAAGAAGTTCGAGGCTTGAGGAGGAGGAGGAGGAGGAGGAGGAGGAGGAGGGGGAGGAGGAGAGGAGGAGGAGGCGGGGGGGGGGAGGGAGAGAAGGAGGAGGAGGAGGAGGGGGAGGGGAGGAGGAGGGAGGAGGAGAAGGGGGAGGGGGAGGAGGAGGAAGAGGAGGAGGAGGAGGAGGAGGAGGAGGAGGAGGAGAAGGAGGAGGAGGAGGAGGAGGAGGGGGGGTTCGGCGGAGGGCGGAGGGTCTTGGAATGGAGCTCTGAGGAGGAGGAGGAGGCCACAGAAGGGGAGGAGAAGGAGGGAGGGCGGAAATGAAGAGAGTCGCCGTCAGGCGGACGCGGCGCCTTGGAAGAACGCGCACGCGTTCATCGCGAAGTGGTCGGAGCCGTGGATCGCCGCCTGCCCAGCCCCCAGCGGCGGCGGCGGCCAGGCCGCGGCGGCGGCGGCGGGCGAGGAGGGGCCCAAGGAGGAGCCCGCGGCGGAGCAGCAGAGCGGCGACCAGGCGGGAGAGAGGGGAAGGGCAGGAGAGATGGGGGCGTTCAGGAGAGGGTGGGAGCCAGGGGATTGGAGGATGGGGGGAGAGAGATCCACCCTCCTCCGTCGCCGTCCGATCGTCGTCGGCCGCCGCCGACGCGTGGTCTCGGAGGCTTGGGGGGGGCGAGGGAAGGGGGAGGGGAGGAGGGGGCCCCGGGGGGAGGCCATCCCCCTCCCTCGTTCTCCTCCTCCCCCCCCCCCCCCCCCCTCCTCCTCATCCACCCCTTCATCATTATACCCCTTCCCTCTCCAACTCAGTGAGCAGCATATCCCACCATCCTGCCACCTGCCACTTTTTCTTCTCCCCCACTGCTGCTGCTGCTGATGTCACTGATGCCCCCCCATGCTTCCTCCTTTTCGGCCGCTTGACTCGACCCCGCCCTTTTCTACCCATATGTCCGCTCTCTCTCTCTCTCTCTCTCTCTCTCTCTCTCTGTCTCTCTCTCTCTCTCTCTCTCTCTCTCTCTCTCTCTCTCTCTCTCTCGAGCTTCTCTATATGCGGTCTTCGTGCATAAGAAATGTTACTCCGTTACTCCCCCTCCCCACCCTTCCCCCCATCCCCCAGTTGCCTGATCTCCCTCCCCCACCCCCACCCCCTGGCCCTTACCTCGTTGTCCTGGCTCCCCGTCCGCCGACGGCGGCGATCTGGCTGAAGGCCGGCGCAGGGGCCCCGGGGGCCTCTCCTTCCCCCTCCTCCTCCTCCTCCCCTCCCCCCTCCTCGCCCTCCTCCTCCTCCTCGCCCTCCACCCCCCTCCCTCAGGAATCCCCCCTTTTTCCTGCGGCCCTCCCCTAGAGGCGGCGGCGGCTGCGACGGCCCCAGCGGTGGCGGCGGCGCCCGCTGCGGCCGCGGCGCCAGCCCCCCCGGCGGCGGCGCCCCCCACCGCGGCTCCCGCCGCCGCCGCGTAAGCAGCCTGCGGGTTTGCGCGCGGGCGCCGAGAGAGGAGAGAGAGAGAGAGAGAGAGAGAGAGAGAGAGAGAGAGAGAGAGAGAGAGAGAGAGAGAGCGAATGGGCCGGCCATGGGGTGGCCGCGCCCGTCGCACTGCACGCCAGTGCGATTTTAAACCCCTGCCCTGCCCTGCCCCCTTTTCGACTCTCTGAGTGGGGGGGGGGGGGACGGTGGCATTTTGTTTTGTGCGTTTTCAGGCCAATCTGGACTTCGAGGAATCTTTACGTCGCCACGGCTGGACCCCCCTTTGAAATTCTGGTCAACGTTTTTTTTTTGGAGTAGGACCAGCAGCAGGAGAGCAGGAGGCTAGGACGAGACGAGGGAGGAGAGGGGGGGGCCCTGAGAGGGGCAGGATACCCCCTCGTCGCACAGCACCTCCTTCCCTCTCCCCCTCGCTCCCCATGCAATGGCCCATGGGCCCCTGGGGGCCCGCCTGGCCCCTGGGAGCCCCCTCGCTCCCCATGCCATGGGCCATGGGCCCCTGGGGGCCCGCCTGGCCCCTGGGGGCCCCTTCCCCTCCCCAGGCCTCCCTCCCCTCCCCCCTTCCCCCATCCTCTCCCCCCTCTTTGCCCCCCCTCTCCGCTCTCCAACTCTCCAATCTCGTTTGTCTTGGGTCACTCAGTCTCTCCTCTCTGCCCTCCCCGGCCCGCGGTTCTGTCCCCCCCCTCTCACCCGCCGGGTGGCCGGTGGGCGGCCAGCGTGGCCGGCGGCTGGGGGGGGCGTTTTGCAGTGCAGCAGTGCACAGTGCGCGTTGGCGAAAGGTCGAAAAGGCGGCGGCGGCGAGTGCGGCGCGGCGCCTGCCGCTGCCGGCTGCCTGCTGCCCGCCATTGCCGCCGCCGCGAAGGAGGGGGGAGAAAAGGGGGGAATGGTGGAGGGGTGCGGAGGAGAAGGAGGATAATAATGAAGAGGACGAGGAGGACGAGGAGGAGTAAGGATTAGGGAGTAGGGGGTGGAGGAAGAGGAGCAGGACGAGGAGGAAGGAGAGAGGCCGACTGGCCTCCGTGCGCTTGTGCGGCGTCGGCCCTCAGCCAGATGCCAGATCGCCATCGGCGGACAGGGGAGGGGAGGGGAGTCCCGGGAGAGGGGGGAGGGGAGGGAGGGGAGGGAGGGAGGGGAGGGGAGGGGAGGGAGGGGAGGGGAGAGGGGGGGGGAGGGAAGGGGAGGGCAGGGCGGAGGGAGGGAGAGGGCCTCGGAGGGAGGATAGGGGCAGGGGGAGGAGGGGGGAGTGACAGAGCGAGAGACAGAGAGAGAGAGAGAGAGAGATAGGGGGAGAGAGAGGAGAGAGATAGATATAGGGAATACGATTGATACATGAGAGAGAGAGAGAGAGAGAAAACAAGAGAGAGAGAGAGAGAGAGAGAGAGAGGAATCAAGAGCGAGAGGGAACAATAACGAGCGAGAGAGAGGGAGGGAGAGGGAGAGAGAGAGAGAGAGAGAGAGAGAGAGAGAGAGAGAGCGCGAGAGCAAGAGAGAGGGATAGAGAGCGATAGCGAGCGAACGCGAGAGAGAGAGAGAGAGAGAGAGACAGAGAGAGAGTGATACAGAGAGAGAGAGAGAGAGAAATCAAGGACGATAGAGAGCGAGAGCGAGCGAGAGAGAGAGAGAGAGAGAGGTGGGGCATGGGGGGAACATGGGGGGAACATGGGGGGAACATGCCTACGTTTTCAATCGCGTGGTGTAAAGACTTGACCCCAGCATAAGGGCGCCCCCATAGAGCCGGGGTTGGCGCTAGCCCTTCGCGGATCGCCTGATGAAACGCACCTCCCCCGATGATCCAGCGCCCCCTGACCACGTAGTGGAGATGGGCTCAGACATGTTACGGAGCTCCCGGGCGTGCCCTGATACCCAAGTGCACCACCGCGGGACGGAACGTCCCCAGCCGCCCCCCCGGGCGAAAAGGTGGGCCTTGGGAGCTACCGGGTGGAACTCAGACAACTAGTCGGGCCTCCTTGGAGGCTCCGAGAGGGCTCGCGAAGCATAACAGAGACCCCAAGATGGCCACACGATTGTCCCAAAAAGTCCCCAAGAGGGCCCCACACCCGCATGTCGTGCTCATGTCGTCACCATGGGGTGGGTAGGTGCGTGGGGGTTTTGGTGGGTCCGTCATCCTTCCTTCATTATGGCTTGATCTTGAATTTTCGAGACGTTGCTTCTCTGCGACACTGAAGCCATCCTGGGCACCCCATTGGAGCTATCTTGGGGCCTTCTCTGAGCCCTTAAAGACGTCCGAAAGGGCCTGCGTATAACAACAGAGGCCCTGCGTATAATGCGTCGTGCTCTAGCCTCGAAAACTGGAGCCTTATACGCACCACGCGTGGGCCATTAAACGCACCCTCTCGGGGCGCACTTAGAGCCCTTAAAGTCGTCCGAAGGGCTTGCGTATAACAGAAACTGGCCCTGCGTATAATGCGTTGTGCCTCAACCCTTGCCAGTTCTTCGTGGAGCTCCCTTGAGTTTTTCCCCAACCATCCTGTGGTGTTGGGTCCTCGTTTTGAAGAGACAGCGCCCCGCGTCCCACCTCCTCTCCTCCTCCTCCCCCTCCTCGCCCTCCTCCCTCCTCCCCCTCCTTGCCTCTGCTCTCGGCACACCCTCACACGTTTCGTAGCCCCATAGGGAGCTCCACCGAAGGTCCCAGTGGCACAGCCCGCATGCGGTTCCTCCACCCAGGGCAGCGCCGTAGCCCCATAGGGAGCTCCACCGAAGGCCCCAGTGGGGTTCGCAGCGGTTCCCCCACCCAGGGCAGCGTTTCGTGGCCCCATAGGGAGCTCCACCGAAGGCCCCAGTGGGGGTGTTCGCATGCGGTTCCCCCACCCAGGGCAGCGTTTCGTAGCCCCATAGGGAGCTCCACCGAAGGCCCCAGTGGGGGTGTTCGCATGCGGTTCCCCCACCCAGGGCAGCGTTTCGTGGCCCCATAGGGAGCTCCACCGAAGGCCCCAGTGGGGGTGTTCGCATGCGGTTCCCCACCAGGGAGCTCCACCGAAGGTCCCAGTGGCACCAGCCCGCATGCGGTTCCCCCACCCAGGGCAGCGTCGGTGGGCCCCATAGGGAGCTCCACCGAAGGTCCCAGTGGGCTGCCACCGAAGGTCCCAGGTGTGCGCCCAGTTCGCATGCGTCCCCCCACCCAGTACAGCGTTTCGTGGCCCCATACGGGGCTCTCCCGAATGCGATACCCACAACTGCATATGGTTGGGTCCTTCGCCAGGCTAATTTGAAGCCCTCGAAGGATTTCAAGAGGGCTCCAGAGGAAGAGTGAAATCCTTGACCGATCTGCGCCCAGAGGGCAGGTGGGATGCTCCAAAAACCGCTGACCCACAGCCCAGGTAGGGTGGCGGGTTCAGCCGAAGACGCCACGTAACCTTGGTAGGAGGAGGAGGAGGCTGAGGAGGAGGAGGAGGAGGAGGAGGAGGAGGAGGAGGAGGAGGAGGAGGAGGAGGAGGAGGGGGAGGAGGGGGAGGAGGCGGAGGAGGAGGAACAGGTCCTGACCGCGGCGGCGGGCAATCCCCACGCAAGACTCGAGGATGTGTGCGCCTGGCGCATGGCGCATGGCCCCGCGCACGGCCCTGCGCTTCGCGCGACCCTGCGCACGGCCCTGCGGATGGCGCTGGCTTCGGAAGCCAGGGCGCGAGAAGTTGGCGCCGGAGGAGGACGAGGACGAGGACGAGGAGGAGGAGGGCAGGGACGAGGGTCGGTCGGTGTGTGTATATGTGTGTGTGTGGATAGTTGGGCGGGTTGGGCGAGGGAGGGAAAGGAGGAAGGTTGTGTGGGGAGAGGTTGGGTGGGGGGAGCGGAGGAGGTGCGGTATGGGGAGGGAGGGGGAGGGATGGCGGGGAGGTGGGTGCAAATATGACGGAGGGGAGGGAACGAGTTTCAAAGAGATTGTGAATGGGAGAGTGGGAGGGATGGAGAACGGGAAGGAAAGATAGAGGGGGGGGATGGAAAGAGGAGGGGAGGGGCAGGCTGTGACGTAGGCCTGGTTGTGCTTGCACCTTTTCGGCCTTTCTGGGATCCAGAGTTCCAGAGGGGATGGAGTGGGGGAGGGGGGCAGGGGAGGGGGAGAGGGAGGGGGGAAAGGGGGACTCTTCCATGTCCTACGCATTTCTGTAGCAACGATGATGCTCCGCATGAGAAGGAGGTGCCAAAGACGAGCAGCGCGATCGCAAGCGGAACAGAGAGTGCGTGCTCTCGGCGGGTGAGATGGGCGTTCTGTCCGACCCTCCTGTCCTGCCTGGGCCGGCCCTGGGTTTGACCCACCTTCTCGGGCGGGTCGTGATTGGGGTGGCGATGGATGGGGAGGGGGGGTCGAGGGTCACAGGAAGAGAGCTCCCTGGGACCCCGAAGGTGCTTGCGAGGTGCGCCTTTCTTCACCCCCTCCTTTACAGATTGCCCCTCCTCTCCCCCGCGTCAAGCAACGCCCGACCTCCCCCAAGTTTTCGCACGCCAGGTTTCGCACGCCCGAGATGAGAGCGGCATCGCCCGAGATGGGCAGCGGCTGCTGCCCTTGGGCTGGCACCGCTAGCCGCCAGACGGCACCGCGCTCGCCATTGAAAGAGGCCGACGGCGGGTCCAGCCCAGAGATCGGCAGGAGCTGCTGTCGGTCGATCGGGGGTCGCTGCAGGCGTCCCTGGCCCGAGGTGTCCCCGGCCGTTGGCTCCATCCTGGGCCCGCGGTGGGCTTCGGGGCCTCGGGAGGTGTGCTCCGCAGGCCGCAAGGGTCTCCGTGGAAATGCTGGGGACACCTTGGGCCAGTGGCACCTCTGGCCACACCCACGGCACCGCCAGCAGTAGGCAAGTGTTTTTGTTTCGGGTCCGGCGATGACCCCGGTTATCGGGCTTGCCCCCCCTCCCCCCCGCCCAGGATAGTCTAAACTTGCCGGGTGTGCAGGTACGGGGTGGGGGGGCGCGGGCATATGCAGGGCTGCCCACAGCGCGAAGGTTAGGTTATCGGCCGGCCTTGTCCTCACACTCCCCCCCGGATAATAACCCGGGCTATCGCCGATTCCCCAAAATCGGTCTCTAGTGGCTTTCCACGCGTGGCGAAGCCACCCTCGCGTTCGGCGCGCCGGGCCAGCGCGAGCAGCTGCCCAAGCACTGCCGTCCCCAGGGCCTCCTCTACGCCCTGCTCTGCCCCTCCAGCGTCTCCCTCCCCTGCCCCGCCTCGTTTCCCCCCTCGGCATCGCTCGGACGTGTATTCTTTCGCGGCGAGGACTATCGAGGAGCATTTTCGATCACCTTGCGAGAACATGCGGGCACGACACCGAAAAATGCACGGGGAACGGACATGGACGTCCGAGTGATGGCGAGCTTCTTTTTTCTCTTCCATCCTCCTCTGTCCCATTCCTCCGCGTTCTTCCTGGTGTTCCTCTCCTTGCAACCCCGCTTCGCTCGCAGGAACGTCGACAAGGCGAGAGCGGACTCCTGCAACGTCGACCCGGGGTTCCCGAAGGAGCGCACCTAGACGGGCAGGTCCAGGAGGTGCAGGAGCAGGCTGAAGGAGGAGAATGAAGGGCGCAGCCAAATCTTGCCAGAAGTATCGGAGGTTGATGGACCTTTTACCCTGACACGTCGATTTCTCTCGCTTCGCGGGGTGCACGTCTGGAGCACGTATAGTCCAGTCGTTATTGTGCCTCGTGGCAGCCTTGGGGGCCTCTTGGGAGCCTCTCGGGGTCCTCTTGGGGCCTCTTGGGGGCGACCTTGCGCCTCTTGAAGGCTTCTTGAGGGCCTCTTGGGGCCTCTTTGGGACGTCTTCGGCTGTCTTGGGGCGAATGTGCACCGTTTGGCCATTTCGTGGCTTTCTTGGGGGTCTCTCGCAGCCGCCTTGGGGACCCTCCTGGGGCTCTCTTGGGGTCCTCTTGAGCTCTCTTGGGGGGTTCTCGGACCGTCTTGGGGGCCTCTTTGGGCCGTCTTGGGGCCCTCTGAGGCCGTCTTGGGGCCCCCATTGGGTGCTTCTCGAGTCTTTGTGGGGCCTTTTTGGATGCTGCTTGGGCCGTCACGGGCTTGTCAGAGCCGAAAAAGGCGAGAACGCTAAAATCTTTCAAAACCTATAGGACAATTCATATTTTTGGCCTCTGGAGGCGCTCTTGTGGGCGTTCTTGGGGCCCTCTTGGGCCGTCTTGGGGGCTTCTTGGGCCATCTTGGGCCGTCTTGGGGCCGTCTTGGCCCGTCTTGGAGCCATCTTGAGCCGTCTTGACGTCGGCGTAGACCCCCAAGATGCCTAAGGGGCCCAAATCATCGGTGTCCCGTAGGTTTTTGTAGGTGTTGAAGCCCAGGAGGGGTACACCACTTTAGGGTCGGTGGACGTGGCGTGGCCTGGGGCGGGGGGTTAGGGGGGGAGACATACTAATTTAATACAATGCAATACCAAGCAATTATGCAATCAATGTATACATAGGATACGTTGCATTAGGGCTTCCGCTCCGCTGCGCGACCTGCCTCGGGCAACACGTCACTTCCGGACGTGGATTGCTCTCGCTTCGCGGGGTGCACGTCCGGAGCACGTACAGTCACTTCGTCGCGGGGCCTCTTGGGAGCCTCCTGGGGCCTCCTGGAGGCCTCTTGGGAGCTTTTTTGGGCCATTTGGGGGCTTCTTTGGGGCCTCTCCCCCCCCCTCCTTTTCACACTACCCTTCAAGCGCCGGCTCTAATCATGGGCGCCGCCGTGACCAACTTCCACCCGGCTGGCGCTGCGCCGTAGTTCGCCCAGGGGAGGGGGGGGAATCACATTACACTCCAGTCGTTGTGTGGCCTTGTTGGGGCTTCTTTGAGGCCTCTTGGAGGCTTCTTGGGGATTTGTTGGAGGCCTTTTGGTGTTTTTTTGTTTGAGCCCCTTGGGGGCCTCTTGGGGGCCTCTCGGGGCATCTTGGGGGCGTCTTGGGCCGTCTTGGGGCGCTTTTGCGCCGTTCCGCCCCTTCGGAGGCCGTTTTGGGGGCTTCCCGCGGCCGCCTTGGGGTTCTCTTGGGGTCCTCTTGGGCCGTCTCAGGGGCTTTCTGGACCGCCTTGGAGGCCTCTTTGGGACGTATTGGGGCCCTCCTGGGCCGTTTGGGGGCCCTCTTGGGGGTTTCTTGGGCCTTTTTGGGGGCTGCCTGGGCGGCCATGGGCTTCTGAGAGTCGAGAAAGGCGAGAACGTTAAACTTAGCAAGCAAGTGTAGGAACATTCATGCTTTTGGCCTCTGGAGGCACTCTGGGGGGGTCGTCTTGGGGCCCTCTTGGGACGTCTTCGGAGTTTCTTGGGCCCCTTTGGGGCCATCATGGACCGTTTTGGAGCCGTCTTGGCCCGTCCTGAAGCCATATGGAGCCGTCTTGAGGCCTTATTGGGCCTCCCAGAGGGCCCAAAGCCCCGAATCATTGATTTTACATAGGTTTTGGTTTGTTTTTGAGCCCCAAATGGGGGTCTCCATCTTGGGTCGACGGATGTGGCGTAGCCCCTGGGGGGGGGGGGTAGGGGGGGGGGAGACTTAATAATGTAACGCAATACAATATGTGGCAATTATGCAGTCTTTGGATACACTGGGCACGTTGCATTATCGCCTCCGCGGAAAACGCTGCCGCTCAGCACGTCACCTCCGGACGTGGACTATAGAAGCTTATGCCACATCCGCCGACCCCTTGTTTTTGTATAGCTTTTATCGCCGGCTGTGGTGGACGCCTTCGCGGCGGCGGTATGTGGTTTCATGAGTAGGGTGGTTGGGACTAGTCGTGGTTTCGGGGTCCTGTTCGAGAGCCACTCAACTTGATAATTCCCGTAGCCCCTGCAAATGCGGATTGGAGTGCGGGTTTTTTCTGAAAAAAAAGTCCCCGCGGCAGGGGCACATCAGTGGCCCGCAGGAGACAGAACACATGACGAGGGGAGGGAAAGTAGTGTGCGCAGATAGCAAGGGCCTTGGTTTCACGGCGCGCAGTTGGCAGGCGTATCAGTGCAGCGGCACGTGCAAAAGACATCCACCGAAATCGGCATTCTCCGTGAGGCTTGACAATGTCGCGCGCGACAGAAATAAGGGCAGCGAGAAGTGCAACACGTGCAAATGATGCGCATTCGAGCGCCCGTTTTGCGGTTCGTCGAAGTACGGCCAGGAGGGGGGGACGAGAGGGGGAGCGAAGCTGATGAGGATGAGGAGATTGAAAAGAAGGAAGAGCAGAAGGAGGAGGAGGCAGAGGAGGATGAGGGGCAGGAGGGGTAGAGGGAGGCAGGGATGAGGGGGAGGAGGGCGAAGAAGACACGGGTGGGGACGAAAACTGAATATCCAGGTTTGGTGGGATGGCCGAGAGAGTTGTTGTAGCATGTCGCACATATAGTCAACGTGAGAGGTACTAATTTGTACGATAATATGTTGATATTAACAACTTAACACTATACATATACATACTTAATAGCCAACTTAATAAGTTAAATAAGTCGAGGTGTTTGTTCGGGCGTCCTGTTTTTGCCCTGGCGCCGCGATGTTTGCTTGGCGTCGCCTGCTGGTCGGACCTGCGTTTTTGTTGCTCTGTGCTTGTTTTCTGGGCGCGTTTGTTGAATGAAGACGTTGCGCGTTGTTCAGGTGCCGCCTAAAAAAAACAACTCCTCCTCCTCCTCCTCCTCCTCCTCCTCCTCCTCCTCCTCCTCCTCCTCCCCCCCCCCCCGCCGCCCCCCCTGCTCCTCATCGTGACCCCTCTTCGGCGGATTACCCGCCTTCCCTCCTCTCTTTTGCATGCGCTGGCGGATCAACCGCTTTCTCTTTCGGCGGATCAACCGCTTTCTCTTTCATTTCCGCCCTCTTCTCGGCGGGTCAAACGCCTCGTTCTGCGGATCAGCCGCGCCCCCCTTTCTTTGCGGATAAACCGCGCGCACCCCCTCTCTCGATTCTGCGGATCAGCCGCATTCTTTTCCCCCTCGGCGGATCGCTCGCCTCCTTCCTCTTCTCCGCCCCGCGCGCCCGCAGCCTTTTTTTATTGCAGCCTTGTCGGCCCGAGCTGCCGCGGGGCCGCGGCGCGTCTTGCCGCTGCGCTGCCTGCCCGACAATGGCGCTCCAGCAGGAGCTCCTTCAGCGCGCCGAGGCGACGGGCCCCTTACTGCGCGCTGCCAAGGACCAGGGAGAGGCCGCGTGGAGGCAGGCGTCGAGTACGCAGGCTGCTCGGCTGGTCGAGCTTGTCGGACTGGTGCGCCCGCAGGGCCGCTTGCTCATTCGCCCCGCGGGTTTGCCGCAGCAAGACAGCTTCGCGCCTGCCGACGCCCAGCTGTTGCAGAACGCCTTGGCCACGGCATCCACAACCAGCAGCGGGACGTGGAAGTCGCAAAGTTTCGAGCGTTTCCCGTACTTCTTGAGTGGTGAAGCGTGGGCCGTGCTCAACGACCCCAGCGGGGACGTCTTGCACAAGGCTCGCGCCGTTCTGTCGTTTCCCTCGACGAAGCAGGGCCTCGCGAACCCGTCAGAAGGCACCTACGCGCATGTGGCGGCCCTCGTGACGATCTGCGTAGAGGGTGCCCCGACGGCCCGCAGCATGAGCCCCCACTTCTTGAAAGACACTTTTGACCACATCAAGACGGTGTGGAAAGGCTTGGTCAAGGCAGAGCCCTTGGAGAAGATGGTCTCGCTCCCCGCTGACCCCGACGCGTTCCGAGCTGCGTTTCCCGCCACGTGGGTGGCTGCGTACGGCGACGGTGGCCCTGCAAGCATCGGAGTGTCTTACGTCGATGTCTCTGTGGTGGCTAAGGCGTTCAAGTGGCGGGACAGGCAAACTGGCCCCGGCTCGTCGCCCATGTTGCAGGCTATGCAGCAGATGATGGGGCAGGCGCTGCAGCACTCTCAGCAAGAGAGGTTCGCGAACGGTTCGATGTTGACGTTCACGCAGAAGCAGCCGCGCAGCCTCGCCGGCGTGCAATCGGCGGCGACGTCGGCCGCAGGGCAGCTCGCGTTGACGGACTTCCATCATCAGCAGCAGCAGCAGCAGCTGCAGCAGCAGCTGCAGCAACAGCTGCAGCATCAACAAGACAACCACAACCTGCAGCTGCAGGTCAAGCAGCTCCAGGAGCAGCTGCAGCAGCAGCAGCAGCCGCCGCCGCAGCCTCAGCCCCAGCTCGCCCTCGGGGACGGCCACTCGGCGGATGCCTCTGGGGGGGCTGCGACGACGAAGAAGGCGAATAAGATTGACTCGGTGGAAGCCGCGGCAATGCACGCGCACGCTGCCACGCAGCAGGAGAAGGAGACCAAGGCCCAGGCGAAGGGCAAGGCCCAGCCCAAGGCCAAGGCAAAGACGAAGTGCGCGAAGAAGCCAGCGGCGGCCTTTGTTGGCAAGCCTGCGGTGGAGACCAAAATCAGCGTCGAGAACACACGCAGCCAGTGCGTCGCGCACGACGGGAGGGGCCCTGGCTCGACCAAGGCGTTCAAGTGGGGCCCGAACACAGGCTACACGAAGGAGACGGCCAAGAAGGCTGCCGAGCAATGGATCAATAATCGGATTTGCATCGGCA